ATGTATGTGTATTTCATATGTCTGTGTGAAATATGTTATATGTGTGTATTTCATATGTGTGTGTGAAATTTGTGTGTATTTCGTATACATGTGTGTATAAAAAGTATGTATATATGTGTATAATATGTGTGTGTATTTGTATGTAATTTGGATTGTGTTGATGGTTGTTTTATGTGTATAAAAAGATGTATATATGTGTACAATGTATGTATGTGTGTATTTGTATGCAATTTGGAGTATATTTGTATGAATTATGTAAACTAGAATGTCATAATGGAAAAAACAAACAAATAACAAGTACGATGCTATTATTGATAAATGTTATTTAAAGTACATTACTATAATAGTTCATATGTATTGTGTATTTGTAGATAAATTGTTAATTGTTAGTTTGTTGGTCTGTTAGTTTGATTGTTGGTTTAACTTAGAAGGTTAATTTTAGTTAGTCGGTTTGTCAGTTTGATAGTTTGTTGATATATAGATAAATTGGTAATTGGTAGTTTTCTTATCATTTGGTAATTAATAGTTTAGTTTATGGTAATAGTTTAACTTACAAGTTTATATGTTGTTATTTACTGTGTAGTTGGAAAATCTTCGATCAATGTCCAACGATCTGGAGTCTACTGCGAAACTTATGGGAGGGAACGTGGGTGGCGGGGATGATGACACGTCGTAATAGTTTTATCTTTTATTAGAGATTATGGTATGACATAAATTTATAAGAATTTTGTTATCTATTTTGGTGTATGTATGGTATGACAAAACTTGGATGTTATCTTATCGTTTTTTGCCTTTATCGTTTCTATTTTTCTGCATTTAACGTTATTAACGTAGCATTAGTGGCGGCATTATCATTAGTGGTAAGAGTGAGCATTAGCGGCGACTTTTTGATCAATAGTGACGGGTCAGTAGTGTCTACGTGTCGCCGAGGCAACTTTGGTGAGCAATATCGGCAATTTTTGTCGCTGTTGATACCTTTTTTTCTTGTAACGGTCTCATAAATGCTCCAAATGTTTCAATTTGTATTATAAATGTTCCAAAAGATTACTTTATGTTATGTAAAAGTATTACTTTATAAAATATTTAATGTTAAACTATTGATAATAAATTTTTATTTTTAATGAACGTATATATAGTTCTTACACCTAATTCTCAAATTGTAATATCCGGTCTCAGGTATGCATTTAAATTCAAGTCAAACTTCATATTTTGCCCTTGGACTCGGCAAGTTGGAGGCCCAACTGGTCGAGTAGGATCAACTCCGCATCGGGGGACTAAGTGACCTACTCGATGAGTCGGAAGACCGACTCGGCGAGTAGGAGTTATCTGATTGAAACCCTAAATTGGAGGGTTTGCACCCTATTTAAACGTCTTATGAGGCTTCCACCCCAGCCACCATCACCTTCAAGCTCTGTCCTCGAAATCTTAATCAATTGTGAGCATTCTTGAGCAATTTGTGCCTTTCCTTTTGTTTTGAAGTTAGAAGAAGAAAAGGAAAGCTTGGTGAATCAAGAAGCAAGTTAGTGGATCCAGAGTTCTGGTTGCATTTCCAATTATTTGAGGTAGAGAGCTCCTACCTTGACTCCTAAATTGTTAGATCTACTTTGAGGCTTGAATCTTGTCATCTTTGGGGATATTTCCAAGCGATTTCGGATTGTAGACTGTAATATAGGGTAAATGCTACAGATCTGGAACCTTGAAGGGTTCTCATGGCATAAAGGTGCCAACTTTATGGCCATGAGAACCCCATGCACGTAATAAACCCTATTTTTGGTCTTTTGAGCTTAAAAGTCCCATGCAAGGATGTAAAGTTCATGACTTTACGTGTTATATTGACCTTAGGAGCCCAGATCTACCCTCTGGATGAGAGTAGCACAACAAAAATTGAGTTTTGGGCATGGACATTAGTTGACTCGACGAGTCGTTCATGGGACTTAGTGAGTTGGGGGTTTAGTTCCCCAGCCTTTTCTGATTTGAAGGGATCTAGTTGAGTCTGGAAGGGATCTGGATGAGTCCAGGAGGAGGAATCAACAAAATAAACGTAGTTATAGACCTGGAAACCATGGGACTCGGCGAGTGGATGAACACACTCGGCAAGTCCAAGGCAATCTCCAAACCCATGAAGACGGACTCAAATAGTTGTTCATACAACTCGGCAAGTCACAGACTAGCCACACTTATATGATGAAGATGAACTCGACGAGTTCATGGATGAACTCGGCGAGTCAGATGAAGATAGTCTCGATGTTATGCTTGAAGGAGAACTTGTCGAGTTCTTGCTAGACTCGACGAGTGGAGTCGGGGTTGGGAACAGATGAAAGAATAAGGACTCGACGAATTGGTGAACCAACTCGGCGAGTCAGGTCAACTGGGTGATGACTTTGACCAGGATGTTAACTTTAGTCAGGGGTAAAATGGCTATTTTACCCTAAGAGTAGTTAACAATTTTTGACTAAGTACCTTTATGGAAATCTATAGTTGGAGAGTTGTTAGAGCAGCAGAGAGAGATTCCTCACCTAGAGTTGTATCAGTCAGTCACATGAGGTGAGTTTTCCTCTAGTAGGCACGGGTTTAAGGCACCAATGCCAACCTGTTTATGTAGCAGTAGCATGTCGGGGTTAGCCCGATGCAGTTTATATGTTTCCGGACTTCGGTCTGATGCTAGGGTGGTCCTGAGAAGTAGTTATGTATGCTTGATGTATTTGTGATTCATGCATGATTATGTTATGTGTTATGTCTTCCGGAATTCAGTCCGATGTTGTGTAGGGCCCAAGTTATTCCGAACTTTGGTCCGATGTCGGGCGAGGCCCAATTAAGTGGGCGCGACCCAATTTGTGTTATATGTGTTATTGTATGGTATGTGGTAGTTTGGAGGAGCTCACTAAGCTTCATGCTTATAGTTTTCAGTTGTGGTTTAAGGTATTTCCGCTAGCAAAGGGAAGGGCTCGGGATGATCGCATGGCACACACCACAGTCTCAGCCTGAGAGTTTACTCTGATGTTTTGTTATGAGATTTTGATTTCAGACAGATACTAAGATGTTTTATGATACATGATTTATGTTTTTACTTATGACTTTGGATGGTTCGTGATTTTAATAATGATTTGTGATGCGACATCGGCTCCGACCACCTGCTCTGAGGATGTGCTTCTGCGCCGGAGACAGATCTGCGAGGTCACCACAGAGAGATGCGTTAGAGCCGCCCATGGGACTGTGCTATAGGAGCGGACTGCGACGATCAAGTTAGATCATCTAGAAGATCCGAGATGGTCCTCCATAGCTGCACAGAACCATTTTGGTGTTGGTGGTGGTGTATGGTGGTTGACGACGGCGGGTGGTGACTGAGCCATCCAACCGGAGTATAGTGTGCCAGCTGAGCCAGTTAGGGAAGAGTCCAAGGGAAAGGTTAGGGAAATTTCCTCCTTCATGGAGGAGGCACTATTCTATTTATAGTGGATAATTAGGTCAAGGGAGATGGGGTCAGGCCTTGGGCCAGCCTAATTCAAGCCCAGCTAGCAAGGAGTTGGGCAAGGCCACCCAGAGGCGTCGGGAGGGGCTGGCAGGCGCGCCCTAGGCAAGGCTGGCGGGCGCGCACCAGGAGAGGCTGAAAAGGGAACACTAGGCCAGGTCGGCGGGAGAGTCCCCAGGAAGGTTGGCAATGGAGTCCCCAGCAAGGCTGGCAAGGGAACGCCAGGAAGGGCTGGAAGGAGCACGCCAGGCTAGGATGGCACGCTGGAACAGTCTAGTCCATGCTAGTGGACCATATATCATGAAGTCCCCGCAGTCTGATGTTATTGGTACATGGCCAACGACATCGGACTGGACTTAGTCATATAAACCTTGCATCATCAAGTCCCCCTATTCTGATGCGATTGGGTTGCTGATAATCAGATCGGACTAGATAAAGCGCTAATACATTAAATAATAGATAGAACGGCCAAACCTTGCCAACGAGATCTGTGGGGTTGTGCGATGAGCCAAACATTGCTTATGCAGCTTTAGCTGACTTGATACCCCTTCATTTAGAGGATTGTGATCTGGTTGGTGTGATGCAACGTAACTGTTTCTGGCAATGTTATGCGAGTGGGCCTGCTAAAGAGTATATGACATGGATGTCACGACGTTTCCATCATCCTGGAGGAATGTCATCGATAATTATCTTCATAGTCTGTTTCGCATGTGAATTGATAACCACTCTAAAGGTGTTTCTTGCTGGAGCTATTCCTAGTTGGATTCCCGCCAATCTGATGTGGGTAGCGTAGGTAGTCGTATCAGACTATGGTACATGTGGCAAGGTTGTTATAAGAATACACAACAAGGCTTTTTATACGATAACAGTCAACCAGACAGCTGCTAAGAGCCAGAAAACATAGATGTTGATCGATTGTAAGTCACAATGTTTCTACCGATAGCGTTCTTCTTAAACAGCAACCTTGCTATAGCAAGATGTGATGTAAGAAATGTCTTATTGATAGTCTGAGTATAAGAAGACCATGGTTGCGTGACTTAGAAGAATAATTTGGGCTTAGCAGCCAGCGATCGAGGAGATGTCACGCGGCAGAGCATCACATGGAACAAATCGGTCTTAGCAGCCAATGATCGTAAATACATCACGCGGGAGAGCATCGCATGGAATGGATCGGGCTTGGCTGCCAGCGATCATGAATACATCACGCGGGAAAGCATCGTGTGGAATGTATCAGGCTTGACTGCCAGCAATCACAAATACACCACATGGGAGAGCATCACGTGGATTCATATAAACAAAGGTTGCGAGCCTTTGAGCCTCGTTGGTGGAGCATGCCGCTAGAATGGAGTTGAGCTGAAAAGTCAGGAGACTCAAGGCAAGGATAATGGACCTTGCATGCGGAGCGTGCCACTATAATGAAGTCAGGCTGAGAATGCAGATGACTCAAGGCAAGAGTTTTGAACATTGCATGTAGAGCTTACCGCTAGAATGGAGTCGGGTTGAGAAGCCAATCGACTCAAGGAAAGGATGTTTAACCTTGCAGGTGAAGCTTGCCGCTATGATGGAGTCGGGATAAGAAGCCAGGGGACTCAAGGCAAGGGTTTTGAACCTTGCATGCGGATCTTGCCGCAAGAATGGAGTTGGGCGGGGAAGCCAAGCAACTCAAGGCAAGGATGCTGAACCTTGCAGGTGGAGCTTGCCGGAGTCGGGCTGAGAAGTCAAGGCAAGGGTACTGAACCTCGTATGCGGAGCTTATCGTTATAATGGAGTCGGGTTGGGAAGTCAGGTGACTCAAGGAAAGGGTACTGAACCTCGTATGCGGAGCTTGCCGCTATAACGGAGTCGGGCTGGGAAGCCAGGAGACTCAAGGCAAAGGTACTGAACTTTGCAGAATGGGGCATAGCGGCCGACAATCTATGTGTCCGGCCTGGGCCGAAGTATGATGCCACATGATGCATTACTCCATCATTAGCTGTAGTGACGACTGGTGTCACTTCTTCTAATGACTCTGTCGAGAAGCATGCAGCGAGGCTACTGGGAGCCGGACAGTGGAGCTGTTGTCAAGAGGTGTGTAGTTGGAGTATTGCCGAGAATAGAGCAACAGGGTCGTTGATGGTCGGGCAACGAGCTACTAGCGATGGATGAGCAGCATGATTACTGAGAGTTGGGCAATAAGACTCCCAAGGGTTGAACTATGAGGTTGCTCTTTCGATCTACTGTCACCTAAGGAATGCACGGTCACGTACAGTATCTACTCTTCATATACTTTAACTCTTCCCCTTTGAAATAAAAATCACATTTGCATAGTTTCGTACTAACCCTCCCCCTCCCCCCCTGTTTTTTACATAGAGGAGGCAAGAAAAGGGGGAGACAGACCCGAAGTTGCTGGAAACCGGGCAACGCAGCTGTTGAAAAAGATAGGCAACACAAGTGTTAACAAAAACTGGGTAGCGCGGCTGTCGAGAGCTAGGCAGCACGACTGTTGGTCCGACATCGTGACTGTTGAGCTGGTCGCATGGATGCTGAGGATCGGGTTGCGCGACTGCTGAGATCCAGGAAGCATGGCTGCTGAGAGCTGAGCAGCGGGACTACCTGAAGTTGGTTGATACAGCTGTTGATAGTCAGGCAACACGGTTGCTGAGGATTATTTTTAGAATGATTCACAAGTAGTACTAGCATACTACTCTTCTCCCTCCTTTTTTTCTGAAAATGTCGCGAGAGTTCGAGTCGCAACGCATTCTATTGAGCGGAGCTTGCGGTGCGCGAGTATTTAAATGGTCGATTCTTTTTTCTTATAAAGTTGGTGGGCTATTTGTTGTTGGGGTGGCCCAGTATAGCGGAATGCTAATTTTCTAGGGGGCCAAAATATGTTAGAGCCCACTTAAGAGATGATTAGCCCAAGTTCATATCCTTATTTATTTATTTATTTATTTTTTGAAACGTTGAGTTGTCTGGACCGCCACACATCTTCATAAATTTTTTGTTTAGTGGAATCGCAACACACGAACGTTGGACGGTTGATTTGCTGAATTTATCTTGAAAAAACTAAGTCATTTTACTGTTGCATTAGCTCGATAAAATAAAAGGCTAACATGGGAAGAGCCCAAAATAAGACTTTTATGAGTCCAAAGTGAACTTTGTAAGGAGCCTATACGAAAATGATAGCCCCATTTCTTCTCTTTTTATTTTTCACGTGTTTGTACACTCGATATAGAGATACTTTGGACTTACCCTCATCAGTTCTGACTTAGGAGAAAAGTCGCCCAAAACCATCTCGCTCTCAAATCTCGATTACCAGAAGCGGAAGTGTTAAGCGGTTGGAGATGGATTGTTCTTGCCGAAGGATGGGTTGTGGAAGAAGATCAAAGCAAAGATAATTTATCTAGAGGTGTTGTTGGAGGAGACCGGAGCAAGAGTGAGCGTCTGATAGCGAAGGTTTTGCTCATTGGGATCGGAAGTGACTAGACCGCCAGTGACTGAGAGGCGGCCATTTGGATCTGACTTCAGTCGGTGATGATTGTGTGCAAAGCATCGGGACCATCGATTGCTATTATTGTCGGAGTTCGAGGAGACCGTTGGAGCTACTTTGGTTGCAGGTGGGCCATCGAATGAGGTGGTCGACTGGCGGCAGCGAATCGAGGAAACAGGAGGCCCCGATCTCAGTTGTAATCTGATGGTGTCAACTGTCAACCTTCTCCCTTGATGATAACGATAATTGATGGTGATGAAATTGTCCGGTGACGACAAATGGTGAGACGTAGCGGTTGTGGTTCTATTGTTGTCGGCATTGAAGCGACATCAGGTGGTGTTAACTCTTAAAGATGCCTTTCGATTGTAAGCGATCCCGTGGTGCATACAAGTGCATGATTTGTTGTTGCAGGAAATCGATGACTACCAATTGTAGGTTCGCAGGTACTATGCTTTGTTGGCCTTATACAAGGGTATTTGTGTCTTTATGCTGAAAATAACACAACAGGGGACAAAAGTTGAATAGCACAGTGGGCAGAGTTAAAAGAGAAATGGGACAAGAAAGTAAAAACATAGAACAGGACCAGAAAGTTGCCAATTTCTTATTCATAAACTGGAAGAAGAAAAGAGGATACCAACTCCTCATACATGCCTGACTATTTAAACAAAAACTTTGCATAAAAATAGCAACTGCTAGCTAGAGACCAGGGGACACTAACCTACATGATCTTGACTTATTCTTTTCTACTAAAAGCTAAAGAAATTAAATAAAAACGTGCATAAGCCAAACCATGACCTGTACTCTGAATTACTTTAATACTTTCCCCCTTAATTCAGAAGTTCTAACCTTTCAAACCTTCTCAATTCCAAGGAGTGATCGCATGTCTTCAAACTTCAATCTTCCCAGTGGCTTTGTAAAAATGTATGCCTTTTGCTCTTTGCTCCATACATGTGACACAGTGATTTCACCCTTTTCCACACATTCACGAATGAAGTAAAATCGTATGTCTATGTGCTTACTTCTTCCATGGAACACAGGGTTTTTCATTAGATCAAGGGATGACCTTTTATCAACCAACAATGCTACAGGTGGTACTTTTTGCCCAGTTATTTCACCAATGAGTCTTCTCAGCCAGATTCCTTGACAAGCAGCTTTAGTGGCTGCCATAAACTCTGCTTCACAAGAAGAGAGAGCCACACACCTTTGTTTTTGAGATGCCCATGTAATGAGGTTTTCATTGACATAAAACGCCATACCACATGTACTTATTCTATCATTTACATCACTTCCCAAGTCACTATCGATGTATCCTTTGAGATTGATGTCCTTCTTCCCTCTAGAGTACTTCAAACCAAAATCAACTGTTCCTTTAACATACCTGAGTATTGATTTCATGGCTTGAAGATGTTTTAATGTTGGTTTCTCCATGAACCCGCTGACTACTCCAACTGCAAAAGTGATGTCTGGCCGAGTATGGGTCAAATACCTTAACCAACCAACTATACTTCGATACTCTGTGGGATTTACCATTTCACTTTCTTCATTTTTGTGAAGTTGAAGCTTGTGTTCCATTGGACTCTTTGAGCGGTTACAGTTCAAGTCTTAATGAGAAGAGTCTTGGCATAAGCTTCTTGCTTTAGACTGATTCCATCTGGTTGCTGGTTCACTTCAATCCCCAAATAATATGTCAAGAGACCAAGATCACTCATTTCGAACTTGGTGTACATATCCTCCTTGAATGTCTGAACACTTGCAGGACAACTTCCTGTTACCAGAAGATCGTCTACATACACTCCTACGATCAGAGTATTCCCATCATTATTCTTCATGTAGACTGAGTATTCATGGGCACACCTTTTGAAGCCTAGTTTCTTTAAGTATTGATCCAAGCAGGCATTCCAGGCCATGGGTGCCTGTTTCAAGCCGTATAGGGCCTTTGACAGCTTGTACACTTTTTGAGTCTCACCTTTCTTCTGGTATCCTTCTGGCTGGGCAACGTAGACTTCTTCCTCTAAGTTGCCATTTAGTAACGCCGATTTCACATCCAGATGATGCACCTTCCATCCATTTGATCCGGCTAAGGCTAGGATAAGTCAAATTGTCTCAATTCTGGCCACCGGTGCGAATACCTCATCATAATCAATGAAGTGCTTCTGAATATACCCCTTTGCCACAATCCTAGCCTTGTGTTTCACAATCTTCCCGTTTGGATCTCGCTTTAGCTTGTATACCCATTTTAATCTGATAGCCCTTCTATTCTTTGGAAGATTGACTAGCTTCCAGGTGTTGTTTTTTTTCAATCGAGGCCAGTTCTGCATCCATTGCTTCTACCCACTCCCTTTTCTTACTTGCTTCCCTATACGATGTTGGTTCGTTATTGCTATGTATCATCATAAGTTCTTCTGGTGGTATGTGGACTTCCTCCGTGTTCTCGTACAAATCCGTAAGCAAGCTGTAGAGTTTTGGGGCACCACCACTTGTGGATCTAGAAGCGGTACTAGCTGAGCTATGTTGCGATACAGGTGAAATTGGCGTAATTTGGGAATTAGGTGTTGATGGTGGACTTGTGTGCATTCCAGGTGGGCTCATTTGTGAATCCAGTTGTGAGTTAATGGGTTGTGAACCTTCAGCCCAATCACTAACACTTTGTGATGACCCATGTTCATGTTGTGGCGTACTAGGTTCCCAGTCGACCTCATCATCATAAACCTCATCTAGGTTGAAACCATCGACAGTGAAACTTATACCCGGCATCGGTTTGATTTTCGTACTCTTCTCCCACACCTAACTTTGTTGCTCATCGAAGACCACATCTCGACTCACGTACATCTTTCCAGTATCCGGGTCCAACAACCTATAAGCCTTAGTTCCCTTTTCGATCCCCAGATGTACTAGTCGAATGCTTCTTTCATCCAATTTCGCCAAGTGCCCTTTGGCAACTTTCATATGTGCCACACATTCAAACTGTTGGATAAGGTGTCTAAGTCCATAACTATTTCTGGTATGTACTTGACCCGACCCGGCATGGTCCATTTGGGTTGCATGGCACCATGCAATTGGATAAACTAAATGAGAGAAATAACGCTTGGAGATTATTAATATATTATAAGTTATAATATATTAATAATATTATTTGATTAGTTTGATCAAGAATTAATTTAGACTTAATTAAGTGATCAAAAGATAACTAATTAAATATATGGGTTGATTAAGTAAATCATCCATATCTTGTATAGTGGGCTAAAAGGCTCCATGGATCATCAAGTTGGGTTCCACCCATAGGATGCTCCATGGATGCTCCATGGGAGTTACAAACCCATGGGTCATGGAAATGAAGAGTCATGACACATTAGGGTTTAACCCTAGATGTGTCAACACTATATAAGTAATATGATCTCCTCCCAAATCGGTTACACTAAGTAATAGGGGGCTTGGCCGATTTTGAAGAGTGTGTATTCTCTCATAAGTTCTTCCAAGAGCATTTGGTGTTGTGTGAAGCATTTGAGGCATCACACTTGGGGTGCTAGGCTCACAAGGTTTCAAGGAACACAAGCAACAACAAGGTAAGTTATTCTATCTATACTTTATGTTAAAATTGTTCCCCATGTATGCTAGATAGGAATATAACCTTGGAATTCAACTTTGCATGACAAATTAGACAAACATAGATCCAAGGTTATTAGGGTTGCATGTACACTTAGGAAGTGTTAGAATGCTCAAAACCCATCAGTGGTATCAGAGCCTAGGCTTGTTTGTTCTTATTTGTGCTTAAAAGTTGAAAACAGAATCGAAAATTTGCTGTCTGCGAACGGACTCGTCGAGTCTATAGGGGGGACTCGTCGAGTCCATGTGTATCTTCAACCAACTCGGCGAGTCATGTTCATGCACTCGGCGAGTAGGGTCGAATGAGTGCAGAATTTCGATTCAGTTGCTGGAAAATGAATTAGAAACATTACCCTAAACTGTTTTAGTAAATGTAAACTTGTTTTTGGTGGTGTAATGTCTTGCTAATTCATTTACAACAACTAGTTATCAAAATTACAAAGTTTTATGTAATTTTTGATTGTGTTCATATTCATGTTCTTGTTCTTATG